TACAGATTTAAAGTCCATAGCTCTTTTAATTTAGACCCAAATCATGATGGAAAAACTCAATTCGAGCAATAAAGGCCATTAATGCTTTCTGATCTTGAAAATAAGAGCTGGTAGTGGTAGGTATCAACAATTTCTTGGTGGACATTCGTGGCAACTTTCCTTTTTTTCCTTCATTTTGGGCAATCGAGATGGCAACATCTAAGAGCAATGAAGTAGGTTCATGTATGCGAGGATTAAAATTTCATATGGGTACACAAATTTAATCTGCACAAAAAATAAAAATATTTAAAGAGATATTTCAAAAAATAAAAGAAAAAATTGTAAATTTATTGCTGATCGATTAGTTGAAATATTACCCGAATACATTCGAAACATTGAAATTTATTTTAGTTTTCACATAAACGAAAACATGTCCATTTTCATGGACAAGAAATGAAAATTTGATCCTTATTTGTAGAATTAGCCAAAGTGAGAAAACCTAAATTTTTTCGAGAAAATAATTAACAATACTATAGAACTTAATTTATCAACTCAATTATTTGATCTATTCTATTATTACTCTTGGATTGACAATAAACCCCAACCATACCAAGACGTCTTTGGTTCAAGTCCCTAAGGAGATAAAAGTATGGCCGGTTGGTTGGTAGAACGGATCTCAATCCAAGTCTATGGTATAGGTTCAAATTTTCACAAAAATATAAGTCCTAATTTGACTAGTGTATTGATTGAAGAATCAATTCATACATCTAAGTTTGCTCTCAATTTTATTCAAACTCACGAACTTGGTTAATATAAATACGCCTCTATTTGCTGAGAACAATAATTTTTCTCGTTATCTAAAAAGAAATTCCAACTAGTATCAAAGGTGACAGTCAATTTACGGACAATAAATAAATAGGCTAATAATAAATTATGTCCAAATAAAAATCATTACAAGAATATATGAAAAAGTCACATCAACCACAAAATAACAAAATGAAAAGAGATCTAGCCTGTCTGTGGTGCTGGAACTTTCGCGAGAGAGAGAGAGAGAGAGGGGTCCAAGTGTCCAACCACAGGTCCACCAGAGGAGAGACACAAAGAGAGAGAGAGAGACACAAAGAGAGAGAGAGAGGAGTCCAACTGCGAGTCCAACAGGTCTCAAATACATCAGCAGATTAAAGGCCGACAATACCAGAAATTTCCACTAAGATGATGACACCAAATTAACCTACTTTCTTTCTCTATCAATTTTTTTAGATCCCCTTCCTGATAAATGATTTATTTTTTAATATGCCACTATTAATCACTGTTATAATAAAGTCTGAAAAAAATTATAAATTCAAAAGAAAAAAAATAAAATATAAACCTTCGAAGCGGGACAAATAAGAATTCTTAAAAAGCGAAACACACAAGATATCAGTTATTTTACCTTTCACATGTCGACCCCCCCAACTTTCTGGGAGTATCAAGAATAACCAATTGACTTAAACTCAGTTGATTTCTTGATATATGATCTAAAATTTAGAAAATTGGAAACAAAGTATAATAGAGTGGTCTAGATTTGAGGAGGCAACTATTTGAATATAATAAAAATCTATTTTTCAAATTTTATATAATAAGATAAAAGAGCTTTTACCACAAAGGACAACAACGGTCGAAATTTTTTAAATTCATCGATTTACTTTGCAGTTAATTTTTAAACAATAATAAAAATTTAGATATATTTACTATTTAATTATCGTAAACATTTTAATCACAAAAAATATTTGAACCACAATAAAAAAATAACGTATTTGACATGAGAATATTCTGATATACCGATAAAAATGTGCAATCAGTAAATAATGATAATCAAAAGATACAACAATTTGAATACGAAAGGAATCTATTTTTGAAAATCTACCAATAAAGGTGTAACAACTGAGGAATGAGCGTCAAATGAAAGAATTACTTTTCGAGGCACATTTGATATATGCCATATCTTGTTGAAAGCTACTTGACACAACCTAAGATTTACATTTGGATGTGTTCACATATGAGCAAGTGCAAATCTGTTAGAATAAATTATTATTATATTCTCCATTATTATTAATACAACAGTTAGATAAGAAATTTAAGTCGGTGACTTTCACATTCTCGAAGTGAGATTAACCATCTCGAATAGATTCGTAGGACTTATTATTATATCCCCACCTCTTTTAAGTCCCATTTGAAATGACAATGCTAGTTGTTGCTAACAATCAAGTCCATGACTTCAAATTTTAACACATCTATAATATAAAATATGATAGGTTTCAATAAATTTATTTGACGGTCTTAAAATCATTCATATTGCACTGTGCCTTTAGACACGAATTATCCCTAGTAATGCATCTATATACATAGGTATGTGTGTGTACACCAAAACATGGTAAATAATGTCGTAGCAATGTGTGTTTGTGTGTGTATGAGAGAGAGACAACTCTTTAATTTTCACCCACATCTTTAATTTTCCACTTCCACCCACATTTTAATCTTCCACTTCCATCCACATCTTCAATTTTCGATTGCTAATAAGCCAAGACTTGCTTAGTTTTGTTAATAATCAAGTCCTTGACTCCAATTTTCAACCTATAGATATTATATGTATGCGTGTGTATATATCATGATATACTAATGTTAAAGTAGTACGAGGAAGTGTAATAATTCAATCCCACGTCACTTGGTGAAGTCCATTTGGGAGTACATAAATTATACAATATGTTTCAAAGTTGTGTAGGCGTAGCCTGAAACAAATAGTATTATAACTCAGACCAAGTACATGACAATTAGTATCCAATCACTAACCCTCTTGGTGTGAAATTCATTTAAGATTATACATACGTCGGTGCACCCTATTTTGACAATATAACCCTCGAGTAATGTTAGATGGACTTAAAAAATAAATTTAAAAATTAGACTTGATAATCTCAATCATTGAATAAGTAGTGAGTCTCAATAAATGCTGGGATCTACAGTGAAATCAATGATTGAGATTATCAAGTCTAATTTTTAAGTCTATTTTTTAAATTCATATAGCATTGCACTATAACTCTCTAGTTGGTTCAGTTCTTCGATGACCAACTTGATGCTCGTGACGCCATGCTCAAGAGGTTCCAAGATGAGGAGGAAAAGCTCACACGTGAGGTCCTAGAGGAGTTCAACCACCGGACAACCAAGATTAAATAAGAGTTCCCCCGAGCCAAGCGTAGCTCTAGCCCTGACTAACGTCGAGGGTGTCGTAGAGAAGACTCACGTGATAGGCACGAAATGAGGAAATTTGCTGGGATGGAGGACCAGGAGGACAATTGGAGGCGCTTTATAACTAAAGAACTTGACAGCCGATTAAAGCACCCCAAGCAGGAGCTAGCCAAGAGAGTGCACTACGGGAATGGAAGTATCCCCCTTCACAAGGTGGATAGAAAACGAAAGAATCCATAGAAAGTTAGTGATCCTGAGCTTCAAACTGTACGATGATCGGACAGGTTCAATTGCTCATATCTGCCACTACAGACAAGTCATGGCAGTTCACAGGAAAAATGAAGCACTAATGTGCACAATATTCTACCATGAAGTGCTACAATCATCTCCCAAGGATGTCAATTGATAGTTGGGTGCAATTGGCCAAGCAGTTTACTGCTCAATTCATTACTAGCAACAGGTGTCCAAAGGACATTAGAGCACGAATTTTTTAAAAGAAGAAATATGATGAAGTTATTATTGTGAAACGATGAACGAGATAGAGAGTTGCAGTCTTGAGATTGCACTAACATTATTCAAGATCGGGTTATTAAAAGATTACCCATTGTATCAATATTTGACTAGATGTTCAACCATCGAGCCAAACATAGAATTACAAGGATAGGCAAGCCCAATCGTCCCCCTAGAAATTGGAATCTCGACCATCAAATCTAAACTCGTGGATATTGGAAGGAATGAGTAGTTAATCCAAAAGATTTGAACCTAGCGCTTGAGCTAGGCTTAGTACTACCACATAACTACAGTGGAGCACCTCCCACTAGCACATAAAATTGGGTTTCATAGCTAATATTTTTATGGAGTACCTACCACATGAAAGATGTCTACCAATAGAATATCCCTCAGTAAGTGAATATGATTGGACTTCGTAGCTATGCTTTTTGTGAAGTACCGCCCATCTGAAATACTTAGCTTATTGTTTGGGCAACCAACCCTAAGATAGGGGTGGCCATCATTTGTGGCTTGCCCATAAACGCAACATCTAGTGACACAAATCTAGGCGGATGCATAAGCATCTACCAAGGCACAACAACTCAAGTGGGGGCACATGATCAGCCACGAATACTATTGCTAAGGCAAAGAAAAAAGTCATAAGAATGAAGTTCTCAGCATAAAACCCGAGAAGGTGTCGTTGGTTCGTTTCTCTCAAGAGAATCCTATTTTCAAATTCCACATCACCATCAATAGAAGGTACGAAATTTTTTTTCCCCTACAATCAGTTTTATATTACTGTTGCCCAATGAGGCCAATATTTTATGGTGACGGCCCAAGAAATTATATCATGCTACTCTAATCATCATTTGAGATCAAATTCTATACTATTAATAAAAGGAGAGGGTAACTGTTGTATCTTCTCCTTTTATTGATAGCTATTACGAGTTATATAACTGCTTGTAATTTTTTTTTTTCTAGAACATTTATTTTTACATAATTTTCTTTACCATATTTAACCACCTAAATTTAACCCTTCTAATACCTTTTTATTTTTATATCTTTCTAATTCATTCTTATTTGCACACGGAGTATACACATGAATTACCCGTGTATGCACACGAGCCCTAAGCACATAGAAAAAGAGAGACGACCCTTTGGTCACATACACAGCTAACAACCCTATTAGACACCTCCATGATTTGCAATGAAACCTTATCTTAAACTTCAATCACCACAGCCCTGAACGTATTTTCCATTATGCCCATCCCTCAAACCTCATTTCAGTGTCACTATTATTGCTTCACAGGCCCACCACCCATTCTCTCTCTCTCTCTCACTCTGGCCCTCTAGGCTACCGGTAGCACTTGTCTCTACTTTCTTGCAACCACTCACTGTGAATATAATTCCAAAACTCTCTCTCTCTCTCTAAGTGCTATTGAAACACACACTGAAACTTGTTCACATCTCCCAGATGGACATGAAGTTTTCCTTGTAAATATCATTCCCACCTCTCTCTCAACCCCAATATTCTCAGTAAGTGAACTTGACAAAATGGAGATGAAATTTTCTCCACAGAGTCTCTACTTAGCCTCCAGTATGAGAAAGAGTAGTAGCCAGACAAACCCACAGGACCAATCGGAGAGGCTACATCATAATGAAGAAGATCTTCGCAGAAGGAGTTCAGGAAGTTTCAATTTGCAGAACCTGTCCAAGCTCATGCTGCCACCATTGGGTGCTTCGAATTATAACCAGAATCAAATTGAACCCAAATGGTGGATCATTTCTCCTATGAATTCAAGATACAGGTGAGATCAAATTGATCAATATTTTTTAAGTTAAAAGAGTTTGAAAATTATAGAAAAATTTCCATTGTAATTGTTATATGTTGTTAGAACACATGCATGTTGCATGTCACCTATATGATCAATTCTATCGAGACATAATTTAGAGATATAATAATTCTGGTCCTTACATTTATCAATGGTCTCATCATTTAACATAATCTATATTATCAATTCAATGATCCTAAAATATTAATTTGAGTAAATTACACATATAGTCCTTTAAATTATGATATTTGTGTAAATTAAGTTTTTCTATCTACTTCTAATAGAGTGTGTCACTCACGTGACTACATGGCACAAAAAATAAAATAAAATGACTCAATCGATACAATTAGAGAGTCCCGAAAGTTCAACTGACCAAAAAAAAAGTTTAGGAGTTTAATTAATAAAAGGGTTATGGTTTGAGGAATATTTGTATAGTTTACTCCAATCACGTTCCTTTCGAAAATTTAACAGATACAGACAGAAGTGTTCAATTAACACAATTAAAGAGTTCGGGTGCTCAATTACCACAATTAGAGAGTTCGAGGCTCAACTGATACAAAAAAAATTAAGAATTTAATTGACACAAAAGTTATAGTTTGAGCATTATATATGTAATTGATTCATTAAATTCTCAAATTATGTCTCAATATCATTAATCGTATATATCAGAGAAATTTTTTGGTATACATAATTATATTTATATATTTAAAAACATACCTTAATCTCCCACATAGTGATAGTAGCATATAAAAATATAAAAAAATATCATAAATTTCGAGCATAGGACAAAGTTGCAGCAGCTAGTTCAAGATACTTTAAACTCCTGTGACTCTGTCACATCATTTGAATATTATAAAATTTACTCCCAAAACTTAATAGACAGTCATAAATCTCTCCCACTAAACTTTTTTTTTTTTTTTTCTACTTAGTCCCACTAAACTAACAATGGTTTTTGATGTGTGTGTGTGTGCGTGTGTGCAGGTGTTGGGAGACATTAATGGTGGTTTTGGTAGCTTACTCGGCATGGGTATACCCATTTGAGGTTGCATTTCTCAACTCTCGTCCCAAGAAACAACTCTACATCGCCGACAACATTGTTAATCTCTTTTTCGCCGTCGACATCGTTTTGACATTTTTCGTAGCATTCTTTGATCCAACAACTCAGCTGCTTGTTCGCCAAACCAGGAAAATCGCTACCAGGTCAGTTCTTCCTCTGTGAAATTGTTTTTAAAAATCTATTTAATATTAAAGTAAGAAAGTTGAATTTTTAAATTATAAAACTACGCCCAACAACGATCAAAGTAGCTTATTGTCTTGCTTGCGCCACCTAACATGGAAAAATGAAGTGTAGTTTGGGTCTAAGTCATATTGTTTATAACATTGAAGTGTAGTTTGAGAATTAAAATATTTCTGGGAGTAATTTGAAAATTAAAATGTTTCAAGAAGTAAGTTGAGAATTCAAACATCTTTAGGGTGTAAAGTGTAATTAATTCTAAAGAATATTCAATTTTATTGACTCGGACAAATTAAGTTTTATTGTTTTTTGAACCGGAAAAGAGAGAGGCACATCCAGAAGGTAATAACCCTTTTGTGATCACTAGGGTCTTGAAATGTTTGATTTGAACCATAGCTATTAACTCTAATGGGTTGTCTGTCGCCACAGTCAAGCAATAAACCGTGTTATTGTAGTGAATTGTACATGTTTAATAACTATATGGGATTCAACGAAGACCCTAAACGGATACGACTGGCCACCAAACCACTAGCTTAGATGATAAACAAATTAAGTTGGGAATTCACAATGAGAGAGAGAGAGAGAGGTAATGGTCAAGAGCCTACATCAGACCATATTTTGAAGATCATAATTATATAAACCTAACACCCACCCATGGCCCCCACTACTCAGTTTTGATCCCACTTAGGTGGGTGCCTATCATTCGTCATGGTATGTGTCCTGGTGCCTGCTCTGGGTCCATTTTGGTTTCCATCAGTGGGGCAATACAAATAAGAATACAGGTTGCTAATAAAAACCAAGAAGTCTCAAAATCTTTCGAATACAGTCGCACGACGAGAATTGCGCGATCAAAATATTATTGAATCACCAGCTTACAAAACCTGACTTTTGAGTTGGTGTATATGTAAACCACCTAATGTATATGATCTGATATATTAAATATAGTCCTTGATCGGAATTCAAACATAATGGATGAATGTGATTCATGTAGCCAGCCCTAAATAGTTCCTGATCATACAACTATGGTATTACTTAGATAGAGATGACAGCACTAGCTAAATATGACATATGAGACCTACAGTTTGATGAAATGAGGCTTCTTGAACTTGATAGGTACCTATCAACATGGTTCCTAATGGATTTGGCATCAACAATTCCATTCGAGGTCCTGGCATTCTTATTTACAGGCAAACATCATGTGGGTGTCTCTTACTCCATCTTAGGATTGCTCAGATTTTGGCGTCTGCGACGGGTGAAGCAATTTTTCACCAGGTTTGTGTTACAAATATAAGGATAAATTTCACATTACTGTCAACTATATTTTAAAGCCCCCGTTTCATGTTTTATATCTCTGTTTATAATTGTAGTCTTCCTTATATTGCAGGCTTGAAAAGGACATCAGATTCAGCTATTTTTTGGTCAGATGTGCTAGGCTCTTGTTTGTAAGTAAAATTGTCAACTCAAGTTTCTTCAAAACTCATCTATCAACTCAATTTAGTTTGCATAACTTGTAAAACCACCCAACTGATCAGATGTTGATTACTCTATGGCTTGCTTTTGTAAGACTTTCCAGCATAACACCCGCTCGAGTTAACCATTAGGGGTAGACAAGTTTGTCAGGAGCTCATTTTACAAATTTCAGAGGTCTTGAGATCGAGTCTTATTTTAGGATCTCCCCCAATGATTCATCCTAGTTATTGCGTAGTGTATGTGGAATGGGAAGACTACATTTGACCAGAGGATTCGTCGAGTGACGTAAAAAGCCCAGATACCTCATAGGTGGCTAAAAAATCACGGAACAAAGTTCATCATGATACTTATCCCCCAATCTATGCTAGAAACTTACCATAAAGTATGTGTACAAAGGAAAATACGCTATGGAATGAGTGATGTGGAGTAAATGCAAAAAATAGGATAGCCAGAGTAGAGTGTTGGTGTTTTTTTTATGGAGTCTAGTTTATATATGTGATCCAGAAGATGAATTGACCCGAAATAATGTTGTGTGGTTTTTTAATGGAAAATTTTTTGAGACTTAGTCCATAGAGCGAAGACTTGGGCCGATAGGCCCAAGCCGTAGCGCTCATGGACAAGCTTTGTGGGGGTTCGGGGGCAACGCCACTGAGGAAAATTTTTGGGCGCGTTATATAGCCCAGTGCGTAGGACATATAAACTCCGTTGTTTTGGTGATTAGGGTTAATCGTGGATTGTACAGTCGCTCTCTGTATTCAACTCTCTCAATAGTGAAATCCCTGCAGCTTCGTGGACCTAGGCAAATTGCCGAACCACGTAAAATCTGTGTCTTGTTCTTTTTTGTTTTTTATTGCTTTATATTCTTGATTTGTTCTTCGATTGTGTGTGTTTGTTAGTGGATTTAAATCGTGTTAAATCCCAACACAGAGGGGATTAAGTGCTCCCAAATTCAGTAACAGGAAGATCAACTCACCGATTTGGCTTCCTGAAAAACCTTAGAAGCAAATGTGAGTGTACCACTTCTTGTATCTGTAAATGAAAGAGTATGTTTAACTGTCTTAAAGGCGTGATTGTCATTATGATAACTAATAATGGCATGACGGATATGATATTGTTTATGTAAATTTTGGGTACAGGTAACATTGTTTCTAGTGCATTGTGCTGGATGCCTATACTACCTGCTAGCTGATCGATATCCACATGAAGGCCGGACATGGATAGGGGCAGTGAATCCGAATTTCAGAGAGTCAAGCCTTTGGATTCTATACATTTCAGCAATGTATTGGTCAATCACCACAATGACCACAGTTGGCTATGGTGACCTACATGCACAGAACACTTTGGAAATGATCTTCATAATTTTCTACATGCTCTTCAACCTTGGCCTAACTGCTTATATCATCGGTAACATGACAAATTTGGTTGTTGAAGGCACTCGTCGGACCATGGAATTTGTAAGCTTTTTCTTTACTTTTTTTCTTTTTGGGTTAAATATTCCACTCATAAACTGTTGCTCTAATCCACTTTTCTGCTTCTACTACTGATTTCCTCACATTGAACCCTTAACCTTCCGAATTATTGTAACTTATTCCAATCGGAAATAACAAATGTTTGCTGTGCTTTAGACTGAAAATGCCACATCAAATGTAGACATTTGAGAGAGTGATATAAAAAAATCAATAATAAGAAACTGAGATTAAAGTAGTAATTTGGGGGCACGAAATGTAATATACCCTCTTTTTTTTTTTGGCTTTAGTATCAGTTACTAATTTTTTATGTGATGAATTTTTGGGAATGGTTTGCCTATGGTGTAGAGAAATAACATTGAAGCGGCATCAAGCTTTGTGTGTCGAAACCAGTTGCCTCCAAGGTTGAAAAATCAGATACTAGCTTATATGTGTTTGAGGTTCAAGGCTGAGAGCTTGAACCAGCAACAACTCATTGAACAGCTACCAAAATCGATATGCAAAAACATCCGCCAGCATCTATTTTTGCCAACGGTTGAGAAGGTCTATCTTTTTAAGGGTGTCTCTAGGGAAATTCTCTTGCTCCTGGTATGTTCCATCTTTTATTGCTGGTCCAAATTGAAGCAAAAAAAAAAAAAAACATCTGTAGAGAGCTTTGTGTGTATTTATATAAAAATTGTTTTGACAAAACCTCTTATTTTTAATCCCATTGATCAGGTTTCAGACATGAAGGCCGAGTACATCCCACCAAGAGAGGATGTAATATTGCAAAATGAAGCAGCCGATGATGTTTACATCATTGCATCAGGAGAAGTGGAAATGATCGAGTGTGAAATGGAGAAAGAGCGAATCGTTTGGACTTTAAAATCTGGGGACATGTTTGGAGAAGTTGGTGCACTTTGTTGTAGGCCACAAAGCTTTACATATCGAACCAAGACGCTTTCCCAATTGTTGAGGCTGAAAACCAGGGCTCTACTAGAAGCAATGCAGACCAAACAAAAAGATAATGTTGAAATACTCAAAAATTTCCTTCAGGTTGTTATCTGATCAGTTAAAGATTTCTTTTCTTCTTGAAATTCATGTGAAACATTAGAGGGAAAGTTTTTCCTACTTTTGTTTTTTATTTGGGGTGAACATATTCCGGCAATCTTTTGATCACCAAGAAAAGCACACCAAAAATAAGTTACTAGTCGTATGGCGTTTCTTTCTTTCTTTCATAAAACTAAGCCTCATGCTCATATCAGATATGATGCAAATTCTAAAGGCTTGAACTAATTTGCTGAAGTTTGTGTTTTCAAGCATCACAAAAAGCTCAAGGATCCGCATTTTGGGGATTTGTCTCTTGATGGTGGGGAAGATGATGATGACCCAAACCTGTCTATCAACTTGATTACTGTTGCCAGTACAGGCAATGCCGCTTTTCTTGATGAACTTCTTAAAGCAAGGTTGGACCCTGACATTGGAGATTCCAAAGGACGGACTCCATTGGTATGTTCCTATCTGACCTCAAAATGTTCACCTCAGAAAACTGATCTAGGTGTTCTAGTGATCATTAGACACATGGTCATCCAAATTTTACCTGGTTGAATATAGGATCCTTGATGATTCCATCACTTCATTGACGGACTAATGAAGCCTAGTTGAATCAAGAAAATCAATATAAAATATCGCAGTATGAATACTAGTGTAGTGGAACCAATAAGTATCCATGTATAATGTTCCAATACTAACATAGCCACATAAAACTCAAAATGCCGATTGTCAGTTGTTTCTATAGCTGTTACTAGTGGTGGTGGTTGTAATTGTGTTGAAACTTGCAGAAGTTGCTGTTAGTTCCACTGTCATCATAATGCTGTTTTACCTTCTGTTTTTTTATCACTTTGGCACAACAGCACATAGCAGCATCAAAAGGGCATGAAGAATGTGTGTTGGTGCTCCTCAATCATGGGTGTAACATACACTTGCGAGGTAAAGTATCATCCTCATCTCTTTTCCTTTCTTCTTGTTATAGTTTTTTTTTTGGGGTGTGTGGCGGTTTTTTATTTTATTGTTTTGGTTTCCTGGGAAGGAGGGGGGGGGGGAGAGGATCGGTACATCTCTAAGTTCTTCTACATATAAGTACTCATTTTCTTGGATATAACATCTAATCATCAAGATTATACCATGTATGCAGATCATGATGAAAACACTGCATTATGGGATGCTATATCAGCAAAGCATCATTCCATATTTCGGATATTGTTCCATTGGGCTTCTACCTCTGATCCCTATGCTGCTGGCGACCTTTTATGCACAGCTGCAAAGAGGAACGATCTGACTGTGATGAATGAACTCCTGAACCAAGGATTACATGTTGACTCCAAGGATCGCCATGGGCTAACAGCTATCCAAGTTGCATTGAAAGAAAACCACGTAGAGATGGTTAAGCTTCTTGTGAGGAAAGGAGCTGATGTTAATTATACAACTAAATGCAAGCTTTCTTCTGTTAATTTGAATGAAATGCTACAACAACGAGAGGTAGGACACCGAATAACAATGCCTGATACCTCATTGGATGAAGTAGCTTTTCTGAGACATGAAGAAGAGTATGAGTACAACTGGGGGAGATCGAGGGGACCATGTTCGGCCAGGGTTAGCATATACAGAGGCCACTCTTTTGTCAGGAGAGAAACTTGTTGCACAGAAGCTGGGAGGCTAATAAGGTTACCAACTTCACTGGTGGAGCTTAAGAGCATTGCAGGTACACTTTGCCATAGCTTTTGTGTTGTTGAGTTTGCATTTTTTTTTTTTTCCTTTTTCTTTCTTTTCCTCCATTTGTTGGAATTAACTTCTTACATCGATGATCAAAAGTGGCAAGTAGTTGCCATGATATTAGTAATTAGAATAAATAACCAAATTGGACATAAAGATTAAGTAAAGTACAATCCTCTGCTTCTGACTAAATCAAATGGTGTTCAGCGATCAAAGTATAAAATCCTGAAGTTTTATTCTCCTGTGAAGCGAGGCTTTCTTGCCCTCGGACAAGTATTTTTTACAACATAAGCACTATCTTTATGACAACCATTGTACAACCAAATCACTTTCAACACAGCAAGAAATTTACGTTATTCATGAACTGCTGTGGATGTCATGATGTCCACCTATTTATGACCACACCACTACTTCAACAAAAACATTTTGTCAATTCCAATTGCGTGAGAGCTATACAAGCTTAAGTGTTATTTTACATTGCTTTTCTACAATTATTATCACTGCATTTGACTTAATTGTTTTGATCTTATGACACAAGGTTTCACATTTGATTTTCAATTATTCACTGGTATTATTTCTTCTGACAGGTGAGAAGTTTGGATTTGACGCAACCAATGCACTGATAACAGATGAACAAGGAGCAGAAATCGACTCCATTGAAGTGATAAGAGATAATGACAAGCTTTTCTTAATTGAAGATCCAATTTCCTTATTGTGATCAAAGATCATGAACTGAAGCAATTCTTCTCAAGAAGCTCAGATATATACATATGTTTGCATTTACTGACCTTACGTAAAATCAATAGAATTTCTTTTTCACTTCTCGTCTGAGGAACAATAGCATCATGCGTAGCACCATTTGCCATGCCAATCTTTCATACTTTTTTTTTTCTCTGCAGCATTCCATGGCATATTTTGGTTCATGAATGCATTCCATGAAGTTCAAAGCCAGTCGTAACATTCGATTATTTATTGATATATATGGTGCTCAACAACACAACTGTGAGGTTTAAAAGTGAAAATACATAATGACAACACGAAGAAGGAATTGCAATTTTACCGATTTCATTGAAATTAAGAGATAAGTTGTTTGAATTGGCAGAGATTTCTTGGATGGCTCCAAGTTTTATATCATCATCATCAATGTTTTGTTGATTTTTACTGTTGTCTTGGCTGGTGTATGGACGGCTCGTCCATACTATGGTTATGTGGTTTCATTAATAAAATTGTTGTTTACTATCAAAAAATATTTACCAGTAATTTCTTTATTTGTCTCATCATCTATTACAAGACTGGACCCTTGTTTAATCTTTGATCATTGAATCAATTGCTTCACATGATATTGTTTTAATGCTTAACCACTGGTAGTCATATATGTCTGGAATATCTTATAAAGGTTCAAGTTCCTTGAGTAAAAAAGAAGGCAGTAAGTAGTAGATGAATTCTAAAGATCCTTTGTTGCAAAAAATTCTTACTTCACCTGAATGTGCCTAGTCTCCTTCTTCTATCTCTACAATAAAACAGGATGCTCCAGAAAAGGGCCCACATCGTGTAAATCCGATGACTTGTCTTATAACTTACATATTTTAATTTTGAAAAATTTTCATTTTGCCCTTGTAAAAGATACAAAAAATTTCAGTTTGTCTTTCAAATGATAAATTTTCTCACATTGTCCCCTCAAAAAATAAAAAATGTTGCAATGTGGTCCATTATCTTATTTCTGTTTAGTCGCCCATCTCTTTTGTAATTTTTAATTAGTTGATTTGACACAAAATAAACAGAAAATAAAACGATAGACTACATTATAATTTTTTTATTTTTTTGAGGGGACAATGTGAAAAAATTAATCATTCTGTGTCAAATTGAGAATTTTTATTTCTTTCAGATAAAATGGGATTTAACCTTTTAATTTTGGACAAATTGCACTTTGTACTGGGAAAGATTTAAGAATTTTCACTTTGTACCGTCAAAGATTAATTTTTTTTCGTTGCACCTCATATCGTTTAAATTCGATAGATTGTCTCTTAACTTATATGTTAATTTTGGGTGAATTGCACATTTTACCCCAAAAAAATTAAGAATTTTTACTTTGTACCCACAAAAATTAAAGTTTTCACATTGCACAATCAATGTATTACAAATGTTACAATATAGTCCTTCTGTTGCTTATTTCGTTAGTGTCAGGAGGCTAGTTTTTTACGAAATGTGCAACAGAAGTTAACAGAAAAGTCATATTACAACATTTGTAATACAACGGGGGTACAATGTAGAAAATTTAGTCTTTGAAGATATAAAGTAAAAATTCTTAAATTTTTTTAGGGTACAAAATAGGATTCCTCCTTAAATTTTTCAACTACGGTAAATATGTATATTTACATTTAAACCTTAACCTTGGTAACCTTTTTAACCCCATGCTTACATTTTAACCCAAAGTTTTAGAAAAAAAGGAACAAAGGGTTATTACGATGTCTTCCCGTAGGCCCCGGGGATTTCTTTGATATTATTAGACAGCAGATGAAGAATTTTGTGTTAAAACTCTCAAATGAAACAGAAAAACACAAACTTATCAAAACATTCCGTTATCCCAAAAAGAAAAACAAAAGAAAACAGGAGTCGTGAAAGTAAAATCCGTTTCAATTATTTAGATAAAGAAAATATGCTATTCGGGTGAAACTAAGATATTTTGTAATTAAGCAACAATATATCCCTCATTTGTGCATTATTTTAACATAGACCATTATTTTATTAGGTCCCACAAAGTTTATTATATATATTTAATCATGACTCTGATTGTGCCGCATCATGCGGTTTAAAAGAAGTGGTGCACAAAAGTAGGGTCCACAAAATTATTTTTTCTTAAAGTCAAAGAACACAAAATGGAAATTGAGATTCTCATGGTAGTTAACAGTGCAGAAAAGGCTTATAGCTCAATCCCCCATTAAGTCAAAATGGAGTAATAATTGAGATTGTAGTGTTGTGTTCTCAAACTTACAGAGAAAAGTGGCAAACATAATTCGGAGATCCTGATGATTTAGCTTATTTAGATGCTATATATAATATACTGATTCGCAGTGCCTTTTTTTTTTTTTGTAGTATTATGGTGAAAAGTATTCAGATCAGTTTATGTATACTTTAACTAATTTTTTCTCTATTTTGGTCAAAAACAGGTCATTCACGTCGAAACTAGAGTATTAATAAGAGATAAATCTCTTATGACTTGGTCCCAAAAAATTGTCAAAATTTGAACTCAAGACATTTGAGTTTACAACTCATTCTTGTAACTACTTGAACTATCCTTATTTTTTTTGGAGAATTATACCCAAACCAGTCACTTAATCATTCAGACTTCTTGACATTTAAAATATTATACACAAATCATCTAAGGTTTGTATGCGCGTAACACATCTATTAGTATATTATATATTAAATTACACTCAGATCCCCTGAAATTTATAGACGTATAATACTTTGACCCCTTAAGTTTAAAATGTTATATTTAGATTACAAAACTTCAATTAAAGATAGAATATCAAATATTTTAATTTTTACAACCAAAATTCATGTTCTATTGTATAATTTATTGAAATAAAATCAAAAAAAATTCATTTTTTTCTTAAAAAATCATAATTAGTATATAATTATATTTTCTATTAAAATAAAACTAAAAAATCAAACAATGGATCTAAATCATTCATAATAGAATATGAATTTTAAAATTCATGTTTTATTATATCATTTATTGAAATAAAATCAAACATGAAAATATATTTTTTTTTTCTTGAAAAATCTAATTTTTTTTCTTTAAAAATCATAATTAGTATATAATTATACTATTTATTGGAATAAAATTAAAAAAATCAAACAAGGAATCAAACTATAATGAATATAATATCTTCTAACTTCAATTGGGGTACTTTGATAGTTTAATTTGGTCATTTAAATGACTAAATTAAATTCTAATAAATAATATAATTTATACTAATTATGGATTTTTTTAAAGAAAAAAATTAAATTTTTATGTTTAATATTTTTTAATAAATTTCATAATAGAACATGAATTTTATTTATAAAATTTAAAATATTTGATATTCTATATTTGATTGGAGTATTTTTTTTTTTTTTGTCTAAGTATTAAACTTGAGGGTCTAAGTTTTACACTCTTACAAACTTTAGGAGGCTTAAATGTAATATATTAACGGATATACTAATGAATATTGATGATAGAAGTCTAAGTGTTACACACGTATAAACTTTATAAAATTGATATATAATATTTCAAATGTTAGAGAGTTTAAGTAATTAAGTGACAAACCTTAAGGTCTCTAGTGTATCCCTTTATTTTTTTTCTCTCACGACAATGTGCTAGTGCAATTCCAGCAATTTGGCTTGATAGAAATCCTATTCCGTCTATTTCATATCAAACACCACTTTGGTTGGTAAATATTTGATTCTTTGTTGGGTTTCCAATCAATCCCTCTGAGATTGGATTTTGATCGAAAGTTTGTTCGTCCAATTGGAGCATCACAGGGTTGATCATGGTATCATTTCTTTTTCTCAAGAATCCTCTGTATCAAGTTGAATTTGGCATTAGGAAATTAGTAGGCATGTCTTTCTTTCTTTTTGAGGATTTGAAGCATTTATGTCTCCATTTTCAACCATTTGTTCCAATGTTTTATAGGATCTCTCGTTTGTTTAAAAAGATTGTGTGGGACCCAAATTCCTCTTTTGGAGATTTAAAAAAGTTGAGTTGACAACCATTAGAGGACCGTACGTGCTCGCGTTTCTCTCCCATTTCTAATAGTTTTTAACTTCTAGATGAGGCATATGTCCCTATTCGCTCAAATTCTAGTCTTATTTTTACATAAACAAGAAATGAATTTCAGTGCTCTTATTTACTCATTTTTGGGTAGGTAGATGTCCTTTTGTAATAGACACTTATGGCAAATGAATGTCCTTCAGTCCTTGTTGTACCCACTAAAGGAGAACTTGGGAATAAGTATGATGAAATTGCCATCTCGAATAGCAAACCAAAATTATTAGAAGGCCCCAATTTTTTCAATACTGTTTTTTCTTATTCAAAGTTTTGACTCGTCTCTAATCATTCTTCCACTAGCAAGCATTTTATTTCATATAGTAAATTTTAAATTTGATTACGGAGTAAGACACTCTATTATATTTTTTCTTCGATTTCTTTTTTAACGAATCGTTTATCATGTATTTAAATGGGACTCATTATATAAAAGTGGGTCTTTCACTCAATTTTTTTCTTTTTTTTGCTACTGTGGCTTGTAACGATTACTCTATCGAACTCAACAGTTACTATCAGGGCTTGAGCTGGATTAGTAAATGTTCTTGAAAAACAAGAGTGGTTAACCTATAGGAGATGTGGAAATGAAATGAACTTGGGACTTTTAAATTACTAAATATCATACTTAACTATTGAACCACCAAAAGTTAATCCCTTTATTCATTAATAGTGAATGATTTGTCAAAAAAATTAAAATATATACATATTAGAAAGAATCTGAATCCTTTGATAATCCCCGCAATTAAGTTGAATAATTGATCATTAAACCACATATGCAATGTAAAATCCAAATCTAAATCCAAAAACTCAAAAGAAAACAAATATTTGGACAAGTTTATGGACATTTCGACTAATCTCTTCTCTGATCTGGTCAAAAATAGGTCATCTATGCCGGGATTAAGATATTCATGAGGGATATAGTCTGACTTCAGAGAATTGTCAAGATTCAAACTCAAAAAATTTAAGTTTATAGTTCATTCAAGTTGTTAATTTATTAATCAAAAACCAATAAAAATTTCACAGATTCTATTCAAAAAAAAAACCTTGTTCGATCAAACGACTCTTGAAAACTTTCTTCCAACTGCAAACCCGAATCCGGTCCTGTCAACTTCAAATTTCTCGAATTTTTCTCAATTTTAATAGCAAAAAAAAAAAAAATCATTCGGCATCCCTCATGGATCTATCACACCATTAACGGTGAGACCCATGAACCGAGTCAAATGATTGAACGATGGATGATCGAAATTGGAAAAAAAATGGAGAACTTCGGCGAGAATCTAAATCCCAAACTCACTAGCTGTCCACCATTATAGTCACCTGGCAATTCCAACCACAATTCGTGAATCCGATACTAAAATTCGCATAGAATTGTGCGGATTTGTGTTTAGAATTAAGGGGTCCAAGTAGATCCGTTATGTCGGGTGAAGTAGACTTGCGTCGAATTTTATCGGATTTGTGTAAAAAAATATTTTATTCATACTCAATTCATTTATTAATTCTTGTTTAACGAGTTGTATTATATTAAGTTTGTATTGTGTATTAATTGTGTATAACCGGTATATTAACGAGTCGTGTCTTGTATTTTTTTTATTGACTCATCCATACCCAATTCGTTTATTAATTGTGTCATGCCGGGTCCACTCGTTTACGAAACAAATGGCTTAAAGAAAATTCATATCTCTAATTTCATGTCGTGTCCTATTTTGGACAACTCTAATTTAAAGTGATAAAACGATGAAACTATTAGACCCTTCAAATAAATGAGTCACATGAACCAAGCTAAACGAATAAATATTAGGTGTAACTATTATATCATGTCAGCATTGCTAAAATGGTGTAACCGTCTAATAACAAAATGGATAAAATAGGATCTAATTCCTATCATAGATGTGATTATTTATTACATGGTTGGGGTGATTATAAGTTTTAATAGAGCCAGTTGCAGCTAATATGGTGTAACGATTACACCTAATATTTTTTCAGCCAAACATATGTAGCCAAGTAGGGATGTTCATAGGCTGGGTCAGGCTCAGCTTGCGAAAATTTTTTTGGACTAGGTCTAGATAAGGTAGGCCAAAACCCTTATTCGGGTGAGTTATCGAGTAAGTCAGACTGGACTTTAAGTAGGGGTAGGCTACTCGCAATCTAACCCGTCACTCATTGGGCGGCCCTGCAAGTGAGCCTTGCGAGCGAACCTGTTGGCGTGGGCCTATAGGCCTGTTGGGAGGAACTACGGGTGAATCTACTAGATGAGTTTTTTATATATAACTTTATTTAGAAATAATAAATATTTTTATAACTAAATATTTTTATAAATTTATTTTTGAATTAAAAATAGATAAAAAAAAATAAATAATGAATAATTATATTTATAAATAGAGAAAGAACTGCATCATAATAGAATGATCACATCTTAACTAGGTTGACATCTACCTACCTATCTATTATTTACACAACTCTATCCTTTAAAGTGTGTATGTTTAATACATGAAAAATAAAAGAATACATTATTTATCTATACTACTTATAAAAGTGACTAACAATGAAAAACTTTTGATTTTCTCTTTTTCCCTCAATTAATATAATAAAGTTCATTATATCCCTCGTACCCTTTTAACTTCTTAAATTAAATACATAAGCCTCTCATATTCCACGATCTTCTAAAATTAATTACATTCATAAACATCTATATCTATAATACTTATATCCCTATTTATTTTTTTACTACCAATCTTGTCGTATTGCATCATTTAATCTCCATTCAATATTGCACCAATTCTGCAGTCGGTAGATTAATAATGGAACTCACTGATCCAACAATTACAAGTGATTTAATGCAAAATTTGGTAAACGTAACATTGCTCATATTATATTGTCTATCGATACTAATTCTAAACGTCAATACTTGTACAAAATTTTTGATTGACAATAATGTCATTAAAACATACTAAAAATTAAATAATATCATTTTGTTGTGATTTTTCACTGGCCAGAAGTCTCTCTTTCGTGTTACTATCAATTAAAGAGACATAACTCTTATAGAACCCTTAGAGTTCTATAACTCAGATTCTTTTAGACGTGTAATTTTTATGCTTCTTTATTTATTTTCACATTTTTTTTTTATTTGATAATTTTTTTATGTTTAATTTTGAGTAACTGGTTTCAAGTGACATAAATTACGATAGTACTATTTGTTGAAAGCACATAAGATTATTGTATCTACAATGATGAAATTGTGTCATCCATTACTCAAAATATCAAACTTAAGTTCGGCCACATTAATTTATAAATCAAACATTGTAACGTATAAATTTATACGTTAAAACTTACGAGAACTAAGTTTTTGGTGCGACAATAATTAAATTATGTACTTCATAAAACAATTCTAGAATACATCATTACATATAAGTTTTATTAACTTATATTTTGATTCATAACTTATAAGTGTATATTTGTTAATAAATTTATTTGATTATTTCGTAAAAATAAGAAATAGATATGATCTTAATTAAAATTAAGATAAATCTATAATACATATATCCGCCACCAATTGGAACTTGAACAATTTCATGTCTTTCATATTCTTGCTTTTTTTACAATTATGTTATGGACCAAGAAAAATGAATTGATCATATAGCATAAAATGTTTATTCATAACATGTTCGATCCAAATCATAAAATGTTTATTTATAACATGTTCGATCCAAGTCATAAAATGTTTATTCATAACATGATCGATCCAAGTCTTTTGAACAAACAATTTTATGAAATATTTTTTTGAAGTGTTTTGAAGATGCTTCGACATTAGCTACGCATCAAGTCTATTTTATTAGAAGATTGTTTTTTTTGCATTTTACATAAGAAAAATCAGCAGACACAATTATTGACATATTTGTGATTAGCGGGTTAGATTTTAATCGTGAATTTCATTGGTGATTATATACTTCGATTTGGAGATAATTAAAAATTATAATTATAATTTAAAATTATCAGCGTGCAACACACCCGTGCATCAACCAGAAATATCTAAATTTTTAAAACTTTGAATTCCAGCATTGAGGGACTTGTTTCCAAGTTTTGATTGGGCTGGGCTGGGCTAAGCAGACGGGTTCTTGATTTGAGTTTTAACGGGCATTTTGCAGACAGATTATTGGGCCGAGTTTTGAGTTGGGTAATAAATTAGATAAGCTTAACCCCTTTCTTAAAAGATATTGGGTTCGAGTTCGAGCAAGCCAACTATCGAATTTATCAAGTTCGGGCTTATTTTTTCAAGTCGAGTAACGAGACTCGTGAGCAATCCAGCCCATGAAAATTCAAACTTCTAATTTTATGTTGGATTAACAAATCATCCATATTTTAACACCCCTAATTTGAAGTGATAAAATGATAAAATTACTAGATTCGTCAAATAAATGAGTCTCATGAACTCAGCTAAATACACGTACCCATTAAACACAACTTATATATGATACTAACCCAATAAAACAATAACCCGACTATACATAATTATAAATAAATTAAATACAATTATACCAAATTTTGACACGATACAAGCTTGACACCGGACACATTGTGAACACTAATTAGAAGAGATTGTGACATGGTTGTCATGGGACCGCAGTTTATCTAGTTTTGAGGGATGGTCCAGTATATTGTCTAAAATCAATATATTCCATTCCATAAAGAACCAAAAAAAACACCTTCTTTAATGCCCTATACAATGCTAAGAACTCGAAAGGTGGAAGAATCTCGACTATGGATAGAGAAAATAATCTTAGCACAAGGAACCTCATCATTCATTTCCCTTAAAAAAACCAAACCCACAATCACTTTCATATATTTAGAGGAATCATATACCAAAAACGCTCAATATATAAATAGGATATCACTATGGTACTACTTTGATATCGTATCGGAATTTGTTATGAATCGGATATCTTATCGTAATTGATTTGTAATCATAGCAAAATATCAAAACTTTTTTTTTTTGTTCAACAGTCAAGAATGTCCGAATTAACTTATGTGTATCTTGGCTAATCTCTTCTTTGGTGCAGTTAAAACCAAGTCATCCACACCAACATAGGGTATTCACGAAGATAAATTTATCATAGTTTGACCTCAAAAAATTATTAAGATTTAAACTCAAGATATTCAGTTCGTCTCTGTTATCACTTGAGCTATTTTTAAGAGTAGATACAAAAACTTTACACTTGCCTAGTTTTGATTGATGAAAAATAGAATGTATTGTTTTGAAATATAACTTTTCATACGGCAATTGGACCCCAAAAAAAAATATGGGCAAAAATGGAGGAGGATGAGAAAAAGGTGCAGAAGCCTAATAGCACTCAATTCCAAAGGGGAACCAAATCAAAATTGAAGAATGAGCAGAAGAATCTCAGTCAAAGTAGTCAAACCTCTACAGCCCAAGAAACATAATCTAGAATCATCGAATAAAGAGCTGCAAAACAGCTAAAGATTGAAGATTTTATCTCTAATTACCTTTTTTACACAGCCCAACTTTGAATCACAAAGAGAGAGAGAGAGTAATTCCAAGATAACTCATGAAGTTCTCATGTTTTTCTTTTTAGCAGCTCTCTCTCTCTCTCCCTCTCTCTCTCTCTCTCTCTCTCTCTCTCTTGTATGTGTCTCTAAACAAGGTAATGGAAGATTCCCAATCATAGTCTCCACTGTGTAGGAAACACCCATTATTGCACTCAGCAACAAACCCTTATTACCATATAGAAACCAGAGCTCCAAAACCATCAACTTCCTATCTTCTCTCCCATCTTTCTCTTACAACACCTTTCAATTTAAATATCCATCAATCTCTGTCACCTTTTTTTTCTACACCAAAAAACCCCTCTTTTTTTATCTTTCCTCCCCCATGATGAATAATTCTTCATCTTCTGTCAATGGCTTCTACAACTTCCTCACACAAGGCCTCAACAATCTAGACCACTTGTTCGTCTCCCAAAACTTCATGTCATTTCAATTTCTCCAGCATGTTCTTTCAACATTTCAATCTTTCCATTCCCAGATAACAGTTTTGGTTCAAAACTTGCATTTACCAGTTGGAGAGAAATGGCTTGATGAGTACATGGATGAAAGCTCTAGGCTCTGGGAAGTCTGCCATGTCCTAAAATCAGGAGTATCGGGCCTCGAAAATTACTACTCATCCGGTGCCAATATCGCTTCTTCCCTCGATAATCACCTCGTTTTAAACCCTCAACTTTCCCGCCAGGTTGATTACTGATTTAACTATTTGGGATCAATTACATGAATGACAGACTTAAATTCTGTAGTGCACGTCTTTCGAGAATTGTGATTTGTTTCTGACCAGTTTGATTGTTATGCAGGTTATTAGAGCCATCACTGTTTGCCAAAGGGAGACAGTGGGTTTGGAGGAGGAGAATAGGAGCTTAATGGAAACAAGAATACAACCATTATCATTGAAATTTGATCATGAGAATGTCTCTACAGAATCAAAGTTCAATGGATTCAATGGTTTTAGAGGAGTTCTCTATGCAATGAGGAATGTAACCACAGTTCTACTAATGATCTTGCTCAATGGTCTTGTGTACTATTCTCCTGATCAAACAAGCTTTGGCCATGGAGGTTATGAAGGACACATGATTTTTGGTTCACCCTTCATGGTTTCAACAGCAAGATTGCACCAGAGAGTAGCTGCTGAGATGAATCGGATCAATGGGCGACCTGGAATTCTTCTCTACGAGTTTAGAAGGGCAAGAACCGCCATGGATGAGCTGAGAGAAGAATTGGTGAGAGGTGTTGAGTATGGAGATGAAGTTCATGACAAGTTTGAGAATTTGAAGTGTTGCTTTGTGGAGTTGCAGTGTGGGGCTGAGACCATAATTGGGCAACTTGATGACTTGTTTGATGAAATAGTTGAAGAGCGGAAGAAGCTTTTGGACATGTGCTCTCATAGGTAGAGAGAGAGAGAGAGAGAGAGTTGTGCAACCATAGGCAGGTACAGAAAGGTAGAGTGTAAGAAATGAGTTGATGGGGTAGGCTTTAGACTTTGAAGTATTACCCTTTAAAACCTCATTTCTTTATGTGCTCACAAATGTCTTATTTCTTCTCAAAAGCACTTTGTTTTAAAGCTAATATAATGTTGGAAGGTTTTTTTGGTCCTTAATGTTCAAGCCTTCAAGTTAAGTTTTCTTAGGAAACTCATGAAGGAAAATTCCAAGTCTCTCTTGTAAAGGGTTTAGCCCCTGAGATTGTAACACTCTCTCTCTTGATTAATACATTTGCATTTTTACCAATCCGACTAATAAGATAGAGCTAACTTTGAAATAGCCAACTTAACTTATCACAAGAAGGGTTGAGATGGATATATAAAAAGGACAAATTAATGTAATCCCATTGTTATTATAAACTACTATAATAAGATTAATTTATACTCAAAAATAAAATATGCCCTTTAACTTTTGAAATTGTTTTTTGAAAAAAAAAATATATTATAAGTTGGACCATACAATTAATGCAACCAAAGAGAAAAAATAAAATGATGGTTTATCTAAATAAAGTCCATAAGAGTATCTCATGTGGTAACAAGCATGATCTATAAATTTAGGTGTTCTGAATTCGAATTTTAACAACCCCTTAGAGTCAGGTCATGACAAATTTATAATTTATCCCTCATGAAGCATGATCTATAAATTTAGGTGTTCTGAATTCGAATTTTAGCAACCCCTTAGAGTCAGGTCATGAGAAATTTATAATTTATCCCTCATGAATTTCTTAGATCCAGCGTGAATAATCTGTTTTTGATCGGACTAGAAGGAGATTAGTCGAAGTGCACATAAAAAAAAAAAAAGATTTATCTAACATTAAAAAAAAACCAATAGATATAAAAATTATTGTCCCTAAACTATGGTTCAAGTTTTAATTTTCTCAGTGCATAAGAAATTTCCTCAATTGGCTCCCAAACTTTTCAATATGTTTTAATGTTTGTGTCCTATTTTTCCTCCAAACACTACATATGTGCATGTCATGTGAGCTATAAAAATGGTATTTATAAGTTACACATGCCTTGTTTTTATTAGGTAAAAAATGTAATCGGTATCTAAAAATAATATTTTAGTATCGTATCCAAACCCTAAAATCATCAATACCCAAGCATCATTTGAGTAGAAGCAAGATTTTATATCACATTAAAGAAAATATGATCCTCATGTCAAGTAAAAGAAGAAGCATACTTAAAAAAGCAATCGACCACCACCATAATCAACTCAAAATCCTTCACAAAAAAAGAGGGAAATTTCCGCAAAGAGAAAGCAAAAAAGGGAATGATGCTTCCTGCTCACATGACAATTTTCAAAAACTGTTTGAGATAATGACAAATTCTACATGATTTATTAGAAAATTTTTAGGGAAAGTTTTAAAATTGTTTGTGGGTCGGTTTCACAGCCGACCAGATACTTTTTCATTCAATTAGCCCAATTACAAATGTCTAATTCACATTAAACTAGGGAAGGCAGTTTAGGTGACATAAAAGATAGGTAATCTAATAAACGTACAGAGATATTATGACCACTTGATTAAGTTTCGTAAATTAAATGACTATTGTATGAGGATCCGATCACAATGTCTGTGTAAACACAATCTCATTCTCAATTTTCTATGCCCCACGAGGTTTGTTTGGCTTAAACCTTCTCGTAACTTAGTATTTAGTCTGAGGTAAACTATCTGAGATAAACTTTACTTTTTTGAACATTACTCATAAAGCTCAAAATTAAGATGAAGTTATTGGATATAAGTATAGTCTAAGTGGCCTCAAAGCATTGTAAGGTTGACTAATAAGACGTGCTTACAAAATAGGTCGATCACGAATATAACTTATAACCAACCCAACACCGACCTGGATATATAAATTAGATGCGATGGTTACTAACCTAATTTTGAGCTTATCAAATTTAAAGAACATCCTCAACTTAGGGTTATTTAGTTAAGTGTGTAATATGTTAGTGGGATGATTATCTACAATTTTATCCTTATTTTGGAACCGTAGTTGGATCCATAGAAATATACTTCCTAAAAAATTGTTTATATAAATAAAAGACAAAGGAAGAGAGATTTGAGGCCTATTTGATTTGCATCTGTGAAATAGTTTTTCTATGTTCGGATATGAAAAACAAAAGAAAAGTTGTTTGAATAGTAGAGCTTTGTATCCAGTTTTATAAAACTGGGAACAAAATGTCAAAATTTTAAACCACTAATAATATATTTTCGCCAATTTTAAGACAGTTTTCGAAAAAAATTCAAAAACATGTTCAAGATGCAATCTATGCACTTAAAGCCATCATTTAAAAGAAAATTTGTTTTCCCCTCTCATTTATATGTCTTTCACTCCGCTTCCAAACAAGCTCGATTGATCCTTTCAAACCCTTATGCTCCGTTTGGTACGATGAAAAAGTGGGAGAATGAAAAGTTGGAGGAATAAATAAAACATCGTATTTGGTAAGGAAAGAAAGTAGGAATGATGGAAAAGTGGATGGATTAACTTTCCTTCCAACTCACCAAAATTAATCCCTTCAAAATCAGAAGGAAAGTGGATGGAAAGTTAAATTACAAACAAATAAAAAAATTTAAATTACAAAAAAAATATTTTTTCCATCTTAACTAAGGGTGAATTTTCGACTCAACACGATGACACGACTCGAACTCGATACGAAAATAAGCAAGTTAACTCGCAACTCGACACGACATAATTAGTTAAATGAATTAAGTTAGGTTTGACTAATATTCGACTTAAATCCGTAATTACTCAACACGAATCTGACACGACCCGACTAAATTGTTACCTCTAATCTTAACTAGAACAAAAAAAAAATATATCATTTTTATTTTCCATCCATTCAATCAAACACAAAGGAAGGAAAGTGTATCATTCCTACTTTCTATCCTTGAAGGATAGAAAGTGTATCCCTCCTATTTTCCATCTTTCATATTTTTCATTCTCCCTATCAAACGGAGCATTAGTCTTATATGAAGCTCCAACCCTTCAAGTGATACCAACTACACAAGAAAATGTCCGATCTGCTTCTAACAAGTTCCTAAAGAATACTCTTTACATGTGCTTTGTGTTTTCTTGCCAATTGATTTTGCATATTTTATTGAGTTTGGCTCTATGTAAATAAGAAATTTAGAATATATATTGTTAGTTTTGTTTGTCGTCTTTCAAAGTGAGGGGAAGAATGACATTTTTATTGCATGTTTAGTTTTAGAAGTTTACTTTTTTGTTGGTTAAGATTTGTTCTTAGATATTTAACACTTGCTCTTTATCCTTGGATTTTCTTTTTTTTAAGAAAATATCATGGGTTAATTTCTAACATAAGATAATACAATGTTGAGAGTTTTATGAGTAAATCTTATTTGTCTATATATTGTATAATACTAGTTGAAAAACATAACTATAATAACACACCCCTCACCTTACCCTCTTTTTCAAAATATTTTTGCAGAAGAATTAATTCAAATTAGATCCTTTATTTTTATTCTTTTTTTATCACTATTCAAATATGTTTATTATTTTTTGTCTTTTAAGACTATTTTTAGAATCATCTAACTAAACATATTTTAGGAGACAAAAAAAAATTAAACATAATTTTCTAAAATTATTATCGAAAACATGTTTTTGAATACTATTTTATAAAAACATATCCAACCAGTGCCCTGGTTTTCACCTTTATTGGTGGGAGAGTTCCTCGACTACATCTCCTGTGCATTTTCACGAGATTCTTCTGAGCTGTGATAGTAAATGACTAATCATTCTACTTGTGAAACAATGATGGAGGAGTGGGCAGAAGACCATACATATACACACACACACACACACACACACACACACCGACACACATAAAGATGGCTATGTGAGATTCCTGGGTGGGTCTGACTTTAAAAAAATTGAAAATAAACAAAAATTCAAAGCCCTTTTTTCCTCTCTCTCTCTGGAAATTTTTGTCTGCTTCTAGTTTCCTTGGAATTGAAAGCAATGGTGCTGGGTGGTTCTTCTAGTTGATGATGATGGAAAGCTTCTTAAAGTCTCTCCCTCTCTCTCTCTCAACATCAAACCCTGACATGACTCCTGTTCCCTATGATTACTTCCTCCTCATTTGCTTCTCTTTTTCATTTCTTTCCCACTTGCAGGAGAAGAATTGTTCCTTTCAACCAGCAAAAATGATGATTATCTATAGCAAACCTTTTCAGTATGCTTTTTCGTCTCTATGCCAGTTTTGAACCAGAACTCAATCTCTGATGCTTTTCTTCTCAAAATTGTTCATTACATGACTCCTGTTCACCTGCTTCCTCAAATCATTACCAAGATTTCGCAAGCATAATTCAACAACTGACATATAAACTTCTTGTGCATTTACAATTTGTGTAATGGACATGGACTATAGCCACCATGTTCAAAGTTTCTGCCACCACGGCGGGTCTTTATGGTTTCCTATTCTTTTAAATGAATGGCATACTTCACTTCATAAATTAGGGTATGCACACATGCAATGGGTTTCAATCAATTTTCTTACTTACCATGTTCAGAGACCTCAAGTTTTAACTACCGCAATACGCATGAAGGGAAAACCTAGAAATGCAAGCTCCAAAGTTCGGTACTCATTCCACTGTGTGCCTTTTCAATCAGCTTGGCCGAGAATCAAAAGCTGCTGGCCCATATAGCTGGTGATATATGCACAATTCGAAGTATAAAACCTCATGATTCCGTTGGCAAGCAGCCGATAGGCCTAATTTATGGGTTGCAGCCCCTGTATTCTTATTCAAAAAGGAAACCTGACTCGAATCAAACCAAAAACTATCTGAGGTAAGAAATAAACACCAAGATCCTTCCCTACGAGACTACTGTGTCGAACTTAATAGTGAAGAAATGATGGAACCGGATACAAATTTCTCAGGTCTACCAACACATGCAATGAAAATATTGAACCAATCAAAGAAATAAGAGTGAAGAACCATAGTTACCTTCCAGAAAAAAAAAAAAAGAGTGAAGAACCATAGTTTATGCTGTATATAAGTGTATAACTTCTGTGAGTACAAAAAAAAAAAAAAACAGAAACAGTAAGCTAAGAAATAATTGACCCAGAGTCGCCTTTAATGGATCAAACAATAGCAGAAGGTACAGGGATTTCACACCCTGTATCAAACTCACAAGATTACCAAGCTCCCCAAAATTATGAAAGATATAAGGCGAGGATCCGTCACTCTGGAATAATTTTTACACACCTTGGAATCACAGCATTTGACGTCAAGACACAGTAGAGACATAGCCAGTTGACCAAAACAGCAGGAATGGTGCATCAAATGCCAAGTAATGTGTGATGCTACACTGTAATTTTTTAAAGGTTGGCTGCCAGCAGAGACTGGAGAGAACATCATACAGAGAAGCTGAGTCAAGTGCGCGGGAAAGAATTAAATGTGCTTTGCAATTATTACCATGTAGAGCAGATGTCAGTCCTGGCTACAGGAAGACATACATTCATGACTTCCATCTCTGACCAAGTTACACATCAAATCCTGGCATTGCAAACTGAGATGCAAAACTTTCAACTCGGTTCCGTAGGTCAATAATATCTTTGTTGTTCTGAAGACCCTTTAGGAAAGCCTTTGGCAATTTACCATGTTCTCTCTGCACTGAACTTGCAATCTGCGCAGCTCTGAGGAGAAAGTCGGCCATTGTCTCAAAATCAGCCTCAAGGCAACCTCTTGATGTCATAGCAGGAGTACCTACAGGCATAAACTTGGAAGCTATCATAAAGGCACCATGTGTTGGACACAACCCATTAAAGTTAATTACCGTACAATATATGTACCAAGATCTTCACTTACCAATCCTCACACCTCCAGGCGTAATAGTGCCATTATCATCAAAAATAGCAACTTTATTGAGAGTAATGTGACACAACTCGCAGATCTTCTCATAATTCTTACCTACAGAACACAAAAAACAGAGAAGATAAATCTACGATTAGTTGTCATTGTCAAGCACAAACATAGATATAAGAGGGCATAAATGAGCAGGCAAATGGGCAGATGGAAAAGAAGAAAGGAGAATGGGATAGTAAGTGTTATCAAATGATGCACACAAAAGCAAGTTACAGACACCACAAAGGTTATCACTAGGAAAAAATATACCCCAAAAGCATTATGCATATGTGAACAAAACATATGATCATTTACATCTGCATTCTGGCAATTTATTTTTAAAATGTAGTTGCCTTTATACAAGCATTTCAAACGATCATTCTCTTTAGTAAATCCAAACCAATGGAAGTATCCAGGCAGTACCAAGAAAATTAGAACTTATAGCAAACAAGAGGTGGTCTACTTAATGACAAAGAGTTGGTGGCACTTCCCCATCCATGATAACAAAACCATTCCGTTCTCCACAACACTCAACATAATAATCCATCCATCAATTGAAGTCTTAATAACAGAACTAGGTACTAGCAAACAATAGATGTATCACCTAATAGACAAGATGACATAACAATGTAATGGGATATCAAATGCCATGAGAAACAAGTTCACTCAATTCAAATGCTATGAAAAACAGGAAGGACTAAATTTACTTCCACCAGATAGAGGAAAAAAGGCCCCAAATGGTTCAGTCTAGCCAAAGTATTAATACAAAGCTAAATTAATTTTTGGTGCATAAATCACACATTACAAGTTCTGGCCATCAAGTGGAGTACGCTTAGGCATTGATCAAGCACCTAAACCCTCTATTCCCCAATCCACAAATCCACTGCCAAACACCCCTCAGGCCTTCCTCAACCACGAAGATTCAAAAAAACCACTCACCAAAATAAGGTGTTATGTGACTCATTGCTTGAACTAAATGGAACCTCCACGAATGAGTAAACCATATTTCGGATACTATTTACAACATCCGAACATAGCCAAGCCAAGCAAACCAAATGCCAGGCAAAAAAAAAAAAAAATCAATCTACATGTACAAAAAAATTCTGACGCTTGTTCTCTTCTCTTTTACCTTAATGAGGAGTTCCTAAGTCTATAGATTATGTGGTTGATTTTAAGGGATTTCTCTTAGGAGCATAGATGTGGATGCACTTTAAGTGCTCCTTCGTACACACCATGGTTCATGTCCTGCTTTGTTCATCTAAGAAATGTCACTCATTAGAACAAGGAAAAAAAAAAATCATGTTGCGCATGCAGTTTTGAAAATGAAGAATTGGAAAAGCTCTACACTTGCATTTCTCCACCAATAACAAGTGAGAACCATAGTTGTCAGTACCTTACGATACACGATACGTCTTGATTCAGGACCCAAACGTTCCGTATCTACAAGTCATATCGTTTTTCACTATATCTTACGATTAGTTTCGATACAATGAAAAAATGATAAGCACAATATCAAAACTTCATTTCTTTTCTTTTGTTTTCTTTTTTTAAGAGACAAAACGACGTCATTTCACAATAATTTTTTTTACCTTAAACAATGACATTGTTTTCATATGTTATTTTTTCTTTTCGTTTGATATCAAACAATGAAACTCTCATTAAATTTCTTCTATTAAAACCCTCTTTTGTTTCTTTCACATCTTATTCTTCTTCTTTTTATTCATACAGACAAAACCCTAACTATATTTTGACCTTTGTTGTGAAGACGATTGACTTTCGTTCGATCTCTATTGGACATGAATCGCATGAAATGATGAGTGAGTTGAAATAGTATGTATATTGCTTCAGACACACTATATTTACACACTTTTAGGTAGATCAATGCTACTTGAACTTAAAATATTGACTTGATTTGTAGACTTGATCAATCACTGTCATTGATTTAACAATAATTTATTGGAACTCACTACCTATTTAATAGTTGTGATTGATCAATTCAGTATTTTAAGTCCAAGTAACCTTTTTATGTGTGTATATAAATAAATAAATATATATATATATATATATATATATATATAAATTGAATGTATTCTACAATGCACGATATATTACGGTACACAATACATTATTGTTAAAAAACGATAAACCTTCCAATAAAAGTTTTGAAAACCTTGGCGAGAACTAATAAAAAGAAAAGAAGGGCCAAAGGAGAACATAGGGACAAAAAGAGTGAGAGATCCTTTCTCAAAAATAAAAATCAGGAAGGGAGCAAGTTTGGGTCTTCTCTGCTTAGGTTTGAGCGTGGGGTGGTTTTTTTGGTGAGACCATCCTAGCCAAGACCCTCATTAGCAAGGAGAATAAAAGTGTCTTCCATAGGGCTTGCGAGTGATTGCTCCTACAATCTAGTTATGAATTAGCTGCAGCCTGTGAGGGATAAATCAAAATACAAATCACTATCTTAGTTGGTGAATAGAATCCCAATGTGAAGTTGCTTTGATTTCATTGCCGTTTGTGAATATGTTAGTTAATGGGTTAACCTGGTAAACTGTCTATACTATTTACCAGGACTAAGGAGTACCAGATGATACGGCACAATATTTTTGGTATTACAGAATAACAGATGAAAGCCATCTTTCTTTTCAAGAATCCTACAAGTTGGAACCTGAATCAGGAAGTATAACTAGATTTTAGCTAGAAACAAATTCAATGCCGCAGGCAGCATCACAAGTCCTGTGGCACACCATTTATCAAACTAAAACATAAATCATCACAGGCCACATCACCATAACAGGGTGAAAATTCCAATCTTCCCAGAGAGCTTGGGCTTATTTACTCATATAAGGTTTTCACTTCTCTAGATTGGTTTTTGTTTCTTGGTAGGCCATTGATTTCTATATCCTACTATTACACAATCTATGAAGTTGACTTTTAAATTTTCCTGTATAAGCAGGAAGTTGATGATCAAATCTTTGGAAGAGAATGCATCGAAGCAGTTATGGGACATGAAAAACAGCCGATTGTATTGCACAATATTTAAGCAGTGAATGAGTTGAATAAGCATGATGTAGCATTATTCAACCATGATCGTAGGAAAGGAGGTGAAGATACAATAAAAAAAGGGAAAGGCAGGGAAGGGAAAGAACATATACCTGTTAATCCAAGAGTTCTTAGATCCCAAAGCAACAGATGATTGTCGGTGCCTCCAGTCACCAGTCTGCAATTCCTCCTCAATAAGGCAGATGCTAAAGCCTGTGCATTTTTCTTCACCTGTTGCATATATGTCTTGTACTCGGGTGTAGCCACTTGTTTCAAGGCTATGGCAAGGGCAGCAATGTGGTTATTGTGTGGTCCACCTTGCAGTGCTGGAAAAACGGCGAAGTTTATCTTCTCCTCAAAGTCATATCTATCACTAGCATCACCTTGAGTCAAAAGCATCCCTCTCTTCCTTGGCTTTGAACCCTTCCTGAAAAAAATAATACCTCCCCTTGGACCTCGAAGACTCTTATGGGTCGTTGAGGTAACAATATCACAGAATTCAAAGGGATTTACACATTCCTGTAGAAACATCAAACATGCACATCATTAGGGGTCACTGCCTTACCAACACTCAAAAGGTAAAATAAAGTAGAAAAATTTGTGAAGCGCCAGTATAATGCTAAACAACAAAGAAGTAACGGACATGATAACACTGTAGCCAATAAACACATTAACACACTGGCAGTACATTCCTAATCGAAACTAAAGCAAAGGAGGAATAGGGAAAATCAAGACAAGAAAATCCATAGCTTCCAGATAGAAAAAATGAGCTAGATTTTATAGAAGGCCGTCTGACTTGAAAACAAGAAACGAAGTGGGTAAACATGTAAACCACGGCAAATATGAAAATTTCTTATTGTGTGCTGCATTGATTTCACACAATAAATATTCATATATAGCACAAGAGAATATTACTGCTGAATACAAGCAAACTTGTGAGACAATACATGCATAAAATTAATAATTTCAATAGGCATTTTCAGATATTTCTTTTCATGGACTTTTTCTTTGCACACACAACAAATCTAGTTATATAAAGAAAAAATTACAACAGGGACACCAAAAAATGGTCTCTGGAACTTGAAGATCTTGAATCAATCCAACTGTCTCATAAGGAGGGATACTAATGCAACTCCTACCCTACCCTAGGCCTGCTCAAAAACTAATCTAAACTGATAAAGAGAAATGAAAACTTGAAAATTTCCAAAAAGCAACAAGTGAACCATATGTTGGTTGCCCATTTCTATTAGGCTATCCCATGTACAATCCATTTAAAGCATATAATTTGGTTTAGTCTGGCCATTTGGATCAGAACCTTGGACCCAATGAAACCATCTCCAATTAAATAGCTCTTAAAAAAAATTATACACACACATACACAGCATTAATTCTTCATAAAAAACCATTCCATATAGCTAAATTTTGGGACACAATGTTAGGAGTGAAGAACCAAGCAGCTTGGCTTTATTGGACCAAAGGAGAGTTCATGCTGGGCTCAAACTCAAAGTGAGCTAGGTGGTTCTTGTTTGGCTCATCCAGCCTTCAAGCTCGGCTCACCACAGGTCAAGTACTGCATATGAATAAAGCTGATTTACTGGCAAAAACTGTTTGTGTAACACTGAAAAAACACAGGATGTTTGTTGTCATGAGGAGCAGAAGATATTAAGGCAATGATGACCAACTGACAAACCTAAAGAACCTAATTTACTAAAACCTTTGCAAATACAATCTCTGCATCTCAAGCGATTCTAATGTTGCATTTGCGCAAATGTTTTTGCCACATCATCATAATTTTGGAAAACTTCAATCTACAAGGCATACCAAGTTTCATTAAATGTTCAAACCTGCTAAAGCATACAACTCTTAACCAATTGACAATAACTGAAAAGCTCCACAAGACTCATATGCTAGTTTGGAGGTAGTGTTGTTATCGATGTGGGACAAGCTCTAATACTACCGCCACTTGCAACCCAACACACACATGGAGAGATAAACAAAAGACTCAAAAGGCAATTTTAGAGACGTAACAAGTGCACCTACAACAGGAACAAAGGGAGAAGCAATTTCCAAATCTATGAAAATAGGTCCTGTCCAAACCATTTCCAAACATAGCTCTTATAACATGCTAAAACATTTACCCAAAAACTAATTGGTAGTAAGTAAAAAAGCCAATAAGAGTCCTACACTAGTTTGGGAAGTGTTATTTTATCGAAGTGGCACAAGCCCTTAAAAAACTAAACAGGGACCTGCCCAAGCTCAACTTGTTGTCTCATTCCATAAATGAGCTTATGACCAAGGATAGAGCTTGGCTCATCCAGACGTACAAACAAGCTCAATCGCCGCAATCTCAAACTATTTACCAGCTTCTTGGCAAGGTTCAATTAACAGTCATATTGTGATCGGGTTTTAAACTCCCATAGAAGATCTGTCCCAAATGCAATCAATACCTAAGATTCAATTGATAATTTTCACAACCACAACCCATCACTCAATACCAAAATAGAAGGTCAAAAGAGTAAGCAAGTACATATCATAATCAATATAAACAATACTAACTCATCAGCCAGGGGCTTAAATAATAGCATCAGAAAGAGCAAAATTTTTCAATCAAACCAAGGATCACAAATATGAAACACAAACATCAATCCAAAACTATAAAAGTAGTAGAAAGATTTTGACCTTAGCAGCAACAAGACCACTTATCTGAGCCATGTCACACATTAACACCGCACCACACTTATCCACAATCTGCCTAAACCTTGCATATTCCCACTCACGGGGATACGAACTACCACCACAAATAAGTATCTTGGGACGAAAATCGAGTGCCCTCTCCTCGAGCTTGTCATAGTCTATATGCCCAGTTTGAGGATTCACCTTATAAGGCAAACTCTCAAAGAAAATTGAAGCCCCAGACACTTTCCTTCCATTTGGAGTATAATAGCCATGACTAGTATTTCCACCAGAAGGTGTATCCAGCCCCATAATCCTATCCCCTGGTAATAATAAACCAGTATAAACCGCAAAATTTGCTGATGTGCATGAATATGGCTGCACATTCACACCCCAATTCTCTGAATCAAGACCAAAAGCGGCCAAAGCACGTTCACAACAAAGAATTTCAATCTCATCAATGAATTGGTTACCACCATAATACCTCGCACCAGGCATTCCCTCCGAGTACTTATTCGTCAAATGGCTCCCTAAAGCCTCCATTACTGCCTTACATACAAAATTCTCCGAAGCTATCAATTCAATCCCTTTGTTCTGCCTCTGCTTCTCCTTCTCCATTATCTCAAACACATCCGAGTCAGCCACTCGAAGCGATTGATTCCCCCAAGCCCTAACCGCTATTCGCCGAGCCTCAAGACCCGAATCGATCGATGATCGGTCTCGCTTCGAAGACGAAGAAGAAGACGATGAATCGGAGTCTCTTCGTCTCTTCAAACACATTGAATGTCCCAAAAGTCGAAACTCCTCTTTCTCATCATCCCCGCTTCCTCTCTCCTCAATTTCTTTCTCTTCCTTCGAATTTTCAGTTTGTTGTTCCATCAGCTGAAGTGGAATCGACGGTACTGGGTGCTGAGGATTGCCATGGCTTGAATCGATTTGGAAAGAGATTGAATCGTCGATAATTTGGGAGCGATTGGATGTGGTGGATGTGTGAGAGAGAAACCCCAGGCAGAGGTTCGATTGCGAGTGGGTTAAATCCATGAATCCAAATTTACCTAGAAATTGAAATCAAACCCGGACCCTAGTAGAGAGAAAATTCGATCTTTCAAGGCTGTGAACAACTATAGCAGCAACAGAAACAGCGACAACAGCGTCTGAAGCAGTTACAGTAGCAATATTTGTGCATCGATCGACGTGGGGTTGAGTATGTAACTGAAGCTTCCATGAAACGAGGTGTAAAACCCTAACCCTAATCAACTCAACCTATAGATACATAGCTTGTAGAGAGATAAGTGTTGGTAAGAGGGAGAGGGGAAGGCAATTAGCTTGGACGATGACGGATAGATTCGAGGGGGGGATGAACCTGGACGAGATAGAGGTAAGCCGTTTCCGGTAACCGACTGTCACTTTAATGAAAACGCCTCGACAGGCAGAGATTCGGTACGAGTAGTCATATGTAAATGTAATGCCTAAGTTGGAGTAAATATTGCGTGTAACGGTAATATCGGGTTATTATCGTATGATTATTTATCTATATAATAAAATAATTTATAATTTAAATTTTAAAAAATTTTAAATTTTATTTTAAAGTTAATAGAAAAAATAGGACCCTAAAATTTTTGATTTTTTTTTTCTTATCCCTTTACAATCCAATTATTTCCTCCTAAACCTAAAGCTGTTTATTAGGCCATCTCTCCAAATGCCCTTTCATCTCTCCAACTGCCCCTTCATCTCTCCCTTTCTCTGCTAAAGGCTCGTTGGTGCATAACCTCTCCATTGGTATTGGTGGCTATACAGATTCTATACGTTAATGGTTGTTGCAATAATGGCCACATCAGTTACCAATAGGGACCTAAGTAATTGTGACCCAGCGGTATTGTTCTTTATCAGCTAATGCATTTTTCCTCTGGTCCCTTCCTCTCCAGACGCAGACACATTGTTACTGTTGCCATTGCCGAATCCGGGGAGACCTTCTTCAACAGGTACTCCATTTGTTTTGAATGCATCTGTTTCCCAACGAAGTCCCTCCTCTCCGTTTGGTGTTAAACTATTTTGCCTTTTTTTTTTTACTTTAATGCTCCGTTTGTAGGAATGATTGAAAGTAAGAATGATGGAAAGTAGAAATGATATATTTTTCTTCCTTTGTGTTTGGTTGGATAGATAGAAATTAAAAATGACTAATTTTTTTTTGTGATGGCTAAGATTAAGGTTGACAATTGAGTCATGCCGTGTCAGATTCGTGTTGAATCATAAAATTATGTACCTTTTATCTTTCTTGTTTGCGTGTTAGGTCATGTTCAAATTTGTATCGAATTATAATCAAGTTTGTGTCATAAAATTTGTTTCGAGTTCAAATCGTGTAATCGTGTTGAGTCAAAAATTTTTACTCCTAATTAAGATGAAAAAAAATATTTTTTTGATATATATACATATTTTATTATTATATTTTTATATGAAATTAATGTATACATATAATATATATAGACAAATAAGATACATCTCAACATAAATAATTAATTTTTTATCCACTTTCTTTCCGATTTTAGAAGGATTGATTTTGGTGAGTTTGAAGGAAAGTTATGATGTGAATCAAAGAAATGTCGAGGACTGTTGTAAACGCTCTATACTTTATTTTGATTTTGTTCATGATGGCTGTTTCTTAATTTTGTGTGTCCATATTGTGGGATTGGATTTGTAGTTGCATGTGCTAAAATTCTTGTTAGGTTTTTTTAATTTTTTTTTTTTAAAAGTTGATTCGTTAACTAATAGTAGTTTCAACAGAATAACTCAGATCATTCATTATTTTATGTGTCATTCCGGTCAACCAACAAAATTCTTAGTGTCATGCTTAGATCCTCATAACGGTTCTAGGGTACTTAGATAAAATTACAAACTCCTTATGAAAATGAATTGTTTGTACTTAGCGTTTGACGAGCATGAACATGAGAGTGCTTTACTTGAGGTTAGTTTTTTTTCTAGTCTTGCCTATTTTAGTAGTTTCAATTACGTTAAGTTTTCGATTATTAAATGTTTAAACTTGTTCAGGACCAATTAGAATACTAATACATGTAGGGTTCGTTTGATAGATTTATTATGAGGGAATTAAATATTTGATTGTACTATTTTTTATTTAATCGGGTCTAATACATTATTTGATAAACAAATTTGATATCGTATTAATTTCAAAAACGTATATTGATCGTATACTTATCGTATATTTTTTATACGATAACTCTGTATTATAGAGGTTTTTTAATACCACCAAGAGAGGTGGTATTATGATCCATTTCAAACGTATTATTTTACATATTTACTATTATAACCTCTTAACTGATAAAATCAAGTTGTCATTAATGTAACAAATATTGATTGAGGATATTTTTGTTAATTCAACATTAATACGATGAAATAATTCTCTAACCAAACAACTAATTTGATTAAATAACTATTATCCAACACTTATATTGTGTATTACCAAACACTTGATAAAATTACATATTATTTTAATACTCTATTTAATATTGATAAAATTTGTCATTTTTTTGGAGATTGGTCTAGCATGTAGGGTTTTGCCGAATAAAGTACTTAGGGCCGTAATGGGAGTATTGTACAATTGGTGTGCTTAAATGGTATCATTAAACAAAGGGCAATTTAACACAAATCATAAAGCATTGATAATTTTTTTAGTCCCCATTTCTTGAACCCTAATTTTTTTCATCAAAAAAGTCCGAAACCAAAATAAAATTATTGTTTATGATCTCCGGTACATAATTAGCACTCTATGTTCACGTTTGATAAATTATTAAATGAAAAACTAGAATCTAATACAATTTTCATTTATTCTGATTTTAGTTTCGTGTTGAATTATTTCAGATGAAGAAGCAATTAGATGCAATAAGACACAACATCATGAAGAACAAAAAAATGGAGTGACGTTGCTATTATCAATGTCAATTCTTTGCTTTTTGAATTTTTGTATATGGTTTTGAAATTGACCTATCTCTAACTTCAATAATTCATATGTAATGTTTTCAGAGCACATGGAATGCTATGTATGTTCAAATATTTTGTTTGCATTAAAACATGTCTTAGTGGATTCAAACATGATAAAGAAAAGGGTGACAATGCCTATTAAGTTGTCAAGATTTTACTCTCAATCCATATGTTACCAGTACCAACTCAACTATAAATCAAAATGATTCACGTGCAATGCACGTGTGCATTAACTAGTTAAAGGCAAAAATATGAATAAATTATACTTACATCTCTTGACATTTGAACAAATGATACGAAGATTCTCTGACATTTCTAAAATTGCACAACGACCCCTATTGGCATCAACAACTGACCAGCGCTAATACAAATGATAAAATGATTATTTTAACCCTTTAGTTTAATATAAAATAAATACATAATAAATAAAATATATTACCAAATAAATAAATTTTTAAGTCAAAAAAATTCTCTTTCTCTTCTCTCACATCTCACTCATCTCCTACCCCACCCAACCACCATCACCACTCCTCTCTCTCTCACTTTCTCATGCACATATCCCCTTTGCCCCTCCCTTCAACACCCCCCATCGTACCCAACCCATTTCTCTTTCTCTCTCTCTCTCTCAAATCCCTCAAGCCCCCTCCCCGTAACAAACCCCACCACACATAGCCTTCTTAACCTAACTACCACAACCACCACCACTCCTAACCCCCTTTTTCTCTCTCACATACACATAGATTCCCCTTATCGGGGATAGCTCACGATTGTGAATTTAAAATTTCTTTGCGAACCCAAGACCGCCTCTATTAGATAACAAAGACTTCAATTTTGATCACCCTCAAGCGATTGATGGCATCCTTATAAACCTCTGTAACTGTGACATCTCCGATATCTCCAATGACGATATTGTCACCGAAAAGTGTGTAGTTACTAAACTTTTTCATCGGGTATACCTTGTCATCGATCGTAAGCAATAAATCGAAAGTTTTTATTAGTCTTATCGGAGTATTAGCTTTAGATTCAAAAAGGGAGGAACTGATTGTCTAATAGTTGTTTAGTAGAGCAAAACTCAAAACAGGGAGTAGAACAAGTGTGGATTGCGAGCACTCAACCCCGCCCCCTCCCTGCAACACCCCCTATCGCACCCAGGCCTCCCAACCCCAGCTGCCACCACTCCAATACCAACCCCCTTCTTCTCCCCCACATTGAACAAGCGATTGAAAATCGATATTCGGGAAAGGAAGAAGTCTTTAAAGGACCCGACTTGCTGGACGAGAAAGAATAAAATCAAGGGCATGCCCAACCCAATCTACTAGACCAAAGCCAAAAGGGAGAAACTATTTCAAGCAAGGATGCTATGACCTCAAACTTGAGACCATTTCAAGCAAGGATGTTATGACCGATTGAAAGATATAGGGATGAATGAATCTAATGTCATTTATATCATGTTTTGCGGCTGCAAGACAGTGTGTCTCTGGTTGAACAACCCAAATTTGAAGACTCAATCACCTTTTTCTCTCTAGATTTGTAAAATCCACATGAATGGTTAAGTTGTCACCTTCGAATCAACCACTTTCTCTCTTGAATCAGCCAAAAACCACATAAAAGGAATTGCCAGAGCAAGGGTCTTCTAGGTGTGTGGGGGTAAGGAAGGAGGTCTTTACAAGGGTTGGTGGTGAACGGTTCTATAATGGTGGAAGTGGGGCTACAGTGATGGAAACGAAACTGTGTGGTGATGGTGGAACTATTTATCTAATTTAATGTTAATTTTTTATTAATGGTAATCAAACTGTAATAATTTAATGTAATCTTTTGATTAATTTTTGTAATTGCATAATTAATGTTGTTAAAATTGTAAAATTTGACAATCAGTGGACAAGATTGTTAGAAATGTTGGGCATGTTATAGAGGGGTAATTTTGGAATTAGGTAAATTTTGTTTCTTGACATCACTATTTTTTGTTGGTCAGACTAATGGTTGAAAGATAGAAGAAGTGATTATGTCATGATTTTTAAATGTCAAGGGGTCAAGTGTAATTTTAGAAATGTCAAGGGGTCTCCATATCATTTGATCAAAGGTCAGGGGGTGTAAGTGTAATTTAATCCAAAAAATATTTATAGTTAGTATTGTTACATGATATCACCAATTAACAATATTCAGACAAACCAATAACTACAT